TCCATCGGGAGCTCATTCCACCAGGTAGGAGCCGCCACCGAAAACGCCCTGGCCTTGGTTAGGGCAAGCTTGATATCTCGGGGGCCCGGAACCTCGGGGGCCTTGTCTACTCAGATTGGCAGCGGCTCTCCAGGGTCTCAAGCGGAGGTCATTCACATCACCTCTAAACAATGCCCCCTCTAAGCTGTGGAGTCTTGTGAGCAAAAATCCTACTTGGTGAGCTCCTGGCATTAAAGCTGTGAGCGAGGGATTTGGCTGCCGCATCAATGAGTTTGCTCTGGGGCCATCCTTCCTGAGCTCGGACAGAAATGTGTGAGCCAGAGGCTGAAAAACTGTGAACTAGCTCACACTGACTCAGCTTAGAGGGAACACTGCCTCTGAGCTCATCTTTTTAGCTGGAGATGCCGGGGATTGAACTCGGAACGTTCTCCCGACCAGGCAGAGGCTCTACCGCTGAGCCACACCCCCTCCCTCCCAGTTCCCGAGTCTTTTGACTGCCGTTGTGTTGCGGGCAGAAGAGATACCCCTCGCCCAATTTCCCTTCTCCTTTCCGTTTCCTGCAAGCTGCTTCCTCTGGCCTCCGTCCAGGGCCTCTCCCGGTTCCTAGTACGTTTCAGGATGGGGCGGGTTTAGAAGTTCTGGGCTATCCTGAAAAGCAAGGAGGACCTGGGCTCTGTGCCTTGGCGCATGCAGGGGGGATTTCCCCGGAAGCGTCCTCTTTTCTCTCCATTCTCTTCGCCCTTCCCTGGAGAACTTCCTTTCCGATCAGGATGTGGGATGTGGTTTCTGCCTGTGCAGATTTGTTTAGTGGCTTTATTTATTTATTTACTTACTTAAAGCGTGTGTTAGCTACCTTTCTGCTTTACAGGAACTCAAGGCAGTCCGTAATGTTAATAAGAATAAAATACATAAAAGCCACTAGTTAGGCCGGTACATAAAAATGGCCATTTAAATGAATAGTTTGAAACTGCACATAGGTAGAAGAACGAATCAGATGCCTTCTTGTATAGAACTCCCTCCCTCCCAAGATGCGTTACGAACATAAGAAGAGCCCTGCTGGATCAGACCAGGGAGGGTCCATCTAGTCCAGCCTCCTGTCTCACACAGGGGCCAACCAGGTCCTCTGGAGGGCCAGCAACAGGGCAGAGAGGCCGAAGCCTTCCCCTGAGAAGAACACCAGAAGAGCCCTGCTGGATCAGACCAGGGAGGGTCCATCTAGTCCAGCCTCCTGTCTCACACAGGGGCCAACCAGGTCCTCTGGAGGGCCAGCAACAGGGCAGAGAGGCCGAAGCCTTCCCCTGAGAAGAACACCAGAAGAGCCCTGCTGGATCAGACCAGGGAGGGTCCATCTAGTCCAGCCTCCTGTCTCACACAGGGGCCAACCAGGTCCTCTGGAGGGCCAGCAACAGGGCAGAGAGGCCGAAGCCTTCCCCTGAGAAGAACACCAGAAGAGCCCTGCTGGATCAGACCAGGGAGGGTCCATCTAGTCCAGCCTCCTGTCTCACACAGGGGCCAACCAGGTCCTCTGGAGGGCCAGCAACAGGGCAGAGAGGCCGAAGCCTTCCCCTGAGAAGAACACCAGAAGAGCCCTGCTGGATCAGACCAGTGGTCCATCCAGTCCAGCACCCTGACTCACGTGGTGATCAGCCAGTTCCTCTGGAGGGCCAACAATGGGGCAGAGAGGCTGAGGCCTTCATAAGAATATCAGAACCACCCTCCTGGATCAGACCAGGGAGGGTCCATCTAGTCCAGCCTCCTGTCTCACACAGGGGCCAACCAGTTCCTCTGGAGGGCCAACAATGGGGCAGAGAGGCTGAGGCCTTCATAAGAATATCAGAAGAACCCTGCTGGATCAGAGATGTGGTCCATGCAGTCCAGCCTCCTGTCTCACACAGTGGCCAACCAGTTCTTCTGGGGGGCCAACAACATAACAAAGAGGCTGAGACCTTCATAAGAGCATCAGAAGAGCCCTGCTGGATCAGACCAGTGAGGGTCCATCTAGCCCAGCACCCTGACTCACATGGTGGTCGACCAGTTCCTCTGGAGGGCCTATAAACTGAGGCCCTCATAAGAACCTCAGAAGAGCCCTGTAAACTGAGGCCTTCATAAGAAAATCAGAAGAGCCCTGCTGGATCAGACCAGTGAGGGTCCATCTAGTCCAGCATCCTGTCTCACACAGGGGCCAACCAGTTCTTCTGGAGGGCCAACAGCAGGGCAGAGAGGGCCAGGCCTTCCCCCAATGTTGCCTCTTGGCTTTGGGGTCCAGAGGTTGACTGCCTCTGAGTGTGGAGGTTCCCTTGAGTCACCGTGGCTAGGAACCACTGATAAACCTCTCCTCCGTGGCTCTGTCTGTTCCCCTGATAGCAAATTCCACATTTTACAGAAGCAATTCTTGTGGTGGGGGAGAATTATTCCCCCTTTTTCCCCCCATGTGCACGGTATACTCCACTTGCTGTCCTCTGTTTCTTTGAGAAACCGTTCCCCGCAGGTGGTGTGTGTGTGTTTAATGATAACACACTATTAATAGAGTTCAGTGTTTTCAGTGTTAACAAAGTTTAGTTTGATATCCAAACACGCTGGCGGCTGTGCCTATTGTAATCCTATCAGAAAGTTTCTGTCCCGATAATACTTACTTTTGTTCGCTACCGAATTTGTTTTCTGTTTTCACCTTTTAGTTTTTCCTACCCCCTCAGAGCGAGGTTGGTGTACTGGTTCAGAGCGGCAGCGGACGCTAATCTGGAGAACCGGGTTTGATTCCCCATTCCTCCTACACATGCAGTCAGCTGGGTGACCTTGGGTCAGTCACAAGTTCTCTCAGAGCTGTTCTCTCAAGAGCAGTTCTCTTAGAGCTCTCTCAGCCCCACCTGCCTCCCAGGGTGTCTGTTGTGGGGAGAGGAAGGGGAAGGAGATTGTAAGTCACTATGAGACTCCTTCGGGTAGTGAAGGGTGGGGGTCCTGGGGGATAAATCCAATCTCTGATTCCCCACTCCTCCTCCACATGCAGCTGCTGGTGTGGCCTTGGGTCAGTCACAAGTTCTCTCAGAGCTGTTCTCTCAAGAGCAGTTCTCTTAGAGCTCTCTCAGCCCCACCTGCCTCCCAGGGTGTCTGTTGTGGGGAGAGGAAGGGGAAGGAGATTGTAAGCCCCTCCAGGACTCTTTCAGGCAGTGAAGGGTGGGGTGTGAAACAAAGTCTTCAGACCGCAAAAAATTTAAACCTACCTTTGCTGTGATCTCAGAGGGTGCAACCATTTGTAACTCTTAAATGAGGGACCTCTACTCCAGGGTGGAGCTTGTGGGCCGTGTTCCGTCTAAGCTAGGTGACAGTTTTTTAACCTCCGGCTCAGAGTTTTGTCTTCGCTCGGGAAGGATGGCTCCAGAGCAGTGTTCCCTCTAAGCCGGGTGAGTGTGAGCTAGCTCATAGTCTTTTAGCCCCGGTTCACACATTTCTGTCTTCGCTCGGGAAGGATGGCTCCAGAGCAGTGTTCCCTCTGAGTGAGTGTGAGCCAGCTCACAGTGTTTTAGCCTCCGGCTCACACATTTTTGTCCTCGCTCGGGAAGGAGGGCTCCAGGGCAAACTGATCTATGCAGCAGCCAAATCGCTCGCTCACCACTTTAATGCCCGTCGCTCACAAAGCAGAATTTTTGCTCACAGGACTCCACAGTTTAGAGGGAGCATTGCTTGTGGGACGGCACCATTTCAGACTCCCGCCCAGTGATTTGAGGAAGTGGGGGGGGGGGAGGTAGGCTGTTGCTCAGCATGGATTGACTGTGCAGATTTTCTAAAAAATGTTGCTTTGGCAGTGGCCGTGGCTGTCATCCTGTGGCTGCCACGTCAGAATTCCAAATGTGCCTGCAGGCTCAAAAATTTGGTGTAGTGGTTAAGAGCGCGGACTGTAATCTGGGAGAACTGGGTTTGAGTCCCCATTCCTCCTCTGCACGCAGGTGCTGGTGTGACTGTGGGTCAGTCACAAGTTCTCTCAGAGCTGTTCTCTCAGAAGCAGTTTCTGTCAGAGCTCTCTCAGCCCCGCCTACCTCACAGGGTGTCTGTTGTGGGGAGGGGAAGGGAGAGGAGATTATAAGCCACTCTGAGATTCCTTCGGGTAGTGAAGGGTGGGGTATGAATCCAATCTCTTCTTCTTCTTGGTGTAGTGGTTAAGTGCGCGGACTCTAATCTGGGAGAACCGGGTTTGATTCCCCACTCCTCCACTTGCAGCTACTGGTGTGACCTTGGGTCAGTCACAAGCTCTGGCACAGCTGTCCTTGAAAAAGAGCAGTTTCTGGCAGAGCTCTCTCAGCCCCACCCACCTCACAGGGTGTCTGTTGTGGGGAGGGGGAGGGAAAGGAGTTTGTAAGCCGTTCTGAGACTCCAAGTGAAGGGCGGGGTATAAATCCAATCTCCTCTTCTTCTTCTTCTTCTTCTAAATTTGTCACACATAATGCTAAGCTATAAATGATGCATTTTATGTTCTTAAGTGAGCGTCAGGAGGTTAGGTTTGATAGCAAAATTAAGTCTTGCATGTTATTAGCTTCTTGGCATAGGGCCCGCCCTTCCCATTCGTGGTCAGCCTTGATGAAAGGGCTTGTGTGGCTTTGATCTGGGGATTTTGCTTTGGGCCGTCCCCAGCTCTCTGCAAGCCACCTTCTGCCGTGCAATAGTTTTAACTGTGGCACTGCTGCTGATGGCCCAGGAAGTGTACGTAAGCAAAAACGTGGGTTCCTGTCCAGAGGAGAGTGTAGTGTACGTTGTGGACAAAGCGTGAGACCACTTTAAGGCCAATAAAGTTTAATTTGGGGGTATACACTTTTGTGCTTGTGTATGGGACAAGCTGAGAGAGGCCGCTTGACCTTCAGTCACTGCTCGCTTCTCGCTCATCCCCTGTCGTCAGAACAACCCTGTGAGGTAGGCAAGGTGATGAGCGAAGGACCGGGCCAGGGTCACTGGCAGAGCTTACTGGTGGAGCGGGGAGATGGACCTCGGTTTCCTCGGCCCAAGTCCGCCACTCTGGCCGTCTCTCCATCCTAGCGGTCACCTTGCGAGGCGGGTCGTGGGGCGCGTCTGTGCTTTAGGGCCCGGCGTCAGTCCGTGTGTGGCAGGATCCGGGCTCCGGCAGGCCCGAAGCCAACACTTCCTCCGCCGGGCCGTGTGCTGAGTTTGCAGGAAAGGACCGGAGGTGCGGGGTGGGAGGACCAGCCAGAGTCCAGCTGGAGAGGAAAGCTGGACTCCCCCCTGGGGCCGGGGAGGGGAGAACTCTCGCCTGCAGGCCTCAACCTCCCCCTTTCCTAATGTCGTTTTCCCTCCCTGCCGCAGGTCTTTACGGGAAAGATGGCATCCTGCCAGCCCGGAAGATGCTCCGCGTCACTGGCAAAGGATTCTGGGAGCAGCTGCGGGATTCGCCCACCTTGCTCTGGCTGGGGCCTCGGCTGGGGCTGGACACGGAGCAGGGCCTGGAGGCGCTCTGCCTGCTGGGGGTGCTGCTCTCCTTCGGGGCCCTGATCCTGGAGCCCTTGCGCGACAGTCTCCTCTTCCTCGCTCTCTGGGCCCTCTACCTTTCTCTTTATCAGGTATGGCGCCGGGGGTTGGGGCAGCGAGGTGGGCACAGTTGTTGTTGTTGTTGTTGTTGTTGTTGTTGTTATTATTGATGATGATGATGATAATTTTGATTTATTAATCGCTTTCACAGCAAGTGAGCTCAAAGTGATTTACAGTTACTCTTTAGACAGGGGACTAACAATGTTTTTCATAGGGGATAGGGAAGACAGCATATAATTCATTTTTTAAGTTGCACATGCCGTACTGTCCGGTGGAACCGTTTCTGGCTTGACTCGGTCATGTTCCAACAGCTGCATCGCCACACTGCCACCGCCTGGCCGGAGCATCCCACTGCAGGGATTTCCTTAGCTGAGTAGATTCTTCCGCCTTCCGGGTCCAGACCAGGACGTCTCCAACCGAGAGCTAACACCTTCCCAGAAGGGAGTCGGTGTGCCCACCCTCTCTAAGGAGTGGTTCCCATTTTATCTACTCGCCGAGGCTTTCGAATCGCTGGGTGGACGATGAGCTGGGGATGACAGGCTGGCTGCTCACACCAGCGCGGGGCTCGAACTGACACAGTTCGGATGTTAAGACAGTGGGATATACCCACTATGCCACCGCTCCCCTAGCAGGGGGAGTGGCTATTAATAGAGAAGCCAGGTGCAGTGGTTAAGGGCGCGGACTCTAATCTGGGAGAACCAGGTTTGATTCCCCACTCCTCCACTTGCAGCTGCTGGATGACCTTGGGCAAGCCACAGTTCTGACAAGTATGTAGAAACAACAGAGAGATCCCGGGAAGGGTGGAAACAATAATGGAAACCACCATGATGTTATATTATGAAAACATATTTAGACTACTGTTCTGTAGTGAATCGTGCGTCTTCGTCACATTGTAAAAATATATGCGCACACATAACGGGAATTGCATATAATACCATTTCACGTAACAGCTTTTTCTGAGTGTGCTGCGTGAATACCATTAGTTTACACATCGACGATTCTAATCCGTGAACTAAAAAGCTACAAGCATGGACGGCTTCAAAAGGGAATTAGATAAGCATATGGAGAAACATGAGATATTGCCCACAAACCATTATTATCATAGGTGGTTGTTCTTATAAAGCACTAGATACTTGCATTATTTGTATAGAGAAGTTAGTACTTACCCACAGTAGGGTCTTTAATATTATCCGAGGGTGCAAAAGTTAGGAGTAGTCACGAGATGAAATAAGTAAAAATTAGCTAATTAAGTTTACCAAGAAGCAGGATAAGGTCTCTTCTGGCCCATAGTCAACCCAGTACGCACAATGGTTATAATTTTTTATTCTCTTTAAGATAAATTGTATTGTATATGTTTGAGTTTTTCTCTCCGTCTGGATTCATTTGTAATGTTATGAATAAGAATAAAAATAAAAATTTTATATAAAAAGGGGGGGGATTACACAGATTCATGGAGGATAAGTCTATCAATGGCTACTAGCCATGGTGACTGAGGGGAACCTCCACATTCAGAGGCACTAACTCTCTGAATCCTAGAGCCATGCGGAAGGCGTTGGCCTCTATGCCCTGTTGTTGCCGCCCCTCCAGAGGAACCAGTTGGCCACTGGGTGAGACAAGATGTTGGAATAGATGGACCATTGGTCTGATCCAGCAGGGCTCTTCTTATGTTATATTAACTGTGGCCTGGCCTAGCCTGGTCTCGTTAGGTCTCAGAAGCTAAGCAAGTTATTTGGATGGGAAACCACCAAGGAATTTCAGGGTCCCTATGAGGAAGGCGATGGCAAGCCACTTGTTAGTCTCTTGCCTTGAAAACCCTATGGGGTCACCATGTTGACTGCTGAGACTTCGTGTGAAGGACAGGGTATAAATCCAATCTCTTCTTCAAAAGTCTGAGCTCCGAGAGAGCACGTTTACATTCTCACCTTACGGCTGTGCCGTGAAATCAAGTTGAGCTACTTAATTCACTTAAGTCAAGATGGGTAGCCGTATTAGTCTGTCTGCAGCAGTAGAAAAGAGCAACAAAATGAGTGAAATAAAATAGGTGCTCTTCAACTATCTTCTGAACGCCAGATGGGAGCTCATTCCCCGGGCTCCACAACAGAAAGCGTTTGCATATACGGCACCACTACCAAAAAGGCCCTGCTCTGTTCTCTCTGAGCTCAGAACTTTGCCATTCATAAACATGCCTCTATATTTTTCTGTTTATTTCACGCATTTTCAATCTGCCTCAAGGGTCCAGAATGCAAACTTGCACGGCAGGATTTCTCATGCAATCCAACATCCAGCCTTTAAATAGTGTTCAAACATCTACTTGCTAAAAAAACCCCGCAGTTTCTAAAACGCACAAAAGCACTTTAAAGACTAACAAAATTTGTGGTGGTTGTACTTGGCTAGGGCTTGGAGGCACTGGGGTGGGGGAACCTAGCCTGCAACCAGCTCTGGCTATGGCATTTCAGAAGAACATTAGAACATAGGAACATAAGA